ACCAATATAACCCGAATCCGAACGATATATGGTTACTTTATCGGTTTTAGGATATGTACAAATTAGAACCAAACCCGACGTATTATATTTGAATTTGATCCATACTTACAAACATGTCTACTTACATATTATGACACCTATGATGTGATATAAATTAGTTTTGATTCAAAGTATTCGACCGGTATCCCAATAGGTACTTGAATTTCCAAGTATAACTTATATTATGTTTTATATTTTTTTAAATTAATTTTATATCTGCTAAATATTTTTTTTGTTTATTAGAATAACCCGTAAAATTATAATCATAAAATATCAATAACGACATGTTTCATCATATAATTAAATATTAATATTAGCTATTAATAATATTTATTTTATAAAAATAACTATATATATAAACGATTTTAAGAGTTTATCTATGATAATTCTATTATTATGTATTGGTGGAGGTTTGAAAAAAAATGTTTATTATTATTTTATGTATCAGTTACATATGATTAAATGTTAATTTTTTATATCCTAACCTTTTAATTTAGATATGTATATTAAAATATAAAATTATTTTATTTTTTATATCTTATGGTAGTATTTTGTTATTTTGTAAATGTAATTCATCTAGTTTATAATTTATAAATTTGATTATTATTTTGTGTAATTTTTAGTTACAAATATGAAATATTTATATATAAATGATATGGAAAGTTAGTTCTTATTCTATAAATCAAAATGAGTTAATACTCATTTATAATTTAATTTAATATTATTATTAAAACAATATTGAAAAATAAATATTTATTTTAAAATAAAAATATATCAAAGATATTGTTAAAATATAATCTGAAAAAGTAGTTCAGAGTATCTTTTTGATATCTTATTTTGAATATATTTAAATATTATATTAATATTATATTATTATTTAATAGTAACTAAGTTTGTTATATGTAACATTATACAAAATTAAATAAATGTAATGTTTTGAGGTATACTATTTTCAAGTAGATAAAAAGTGATTCTGTTTTGATAGTATTGATTTTATGGTTAACGTTAAATCCTAGGATTAATCATAACATCTACGATTTAAAATTAATTTTAGAGTTTAGGACAGTCATAAATTGGATTAAAGCCCAATGTAAGGAAAAAAAAATGAAAAAGCACTAATGGAGTGTAGATACCAATTAATTGAGTGTCATAAGCTGTGTCTCAAACCAGAATTGCAGAATCTAACATACCTGTGACAAAAACACTAAAACATAAATTAAACATGTGTTTATTTGACCCCCTATTTTATAACGTTGGTTCGTCACTAGGATTAATCCTAGAATTTAAGATTTAGTATTTAGAGTATAAGTGAGAATCCTAGAATTTAAGATTTAGTATTTAGAGTATAAGTGAGAATTTAATTAATTTTAATGCCAAAATTTAGGTTTTATTGTTTAGATATTGAAATGTAAGATTCAATATTTAGAATCTTAGAATATTAGTTTTTTAATTAATATTATTTTTAACTGCTTTTCCATAAATATTATATGACACATCAATTTTCCATTGATTATTATCTAAAGGGTAAATCTATAGATTCACTCTTATAAATTTTTTTAGAGGAATAAATTCAAGAATAACTCTTAAAAATGTGTTCACCCTCCAATAAAATTAGGGAAAATCGCATAAAAAACTTTCAAAGTGACATTTACTAGCACTTTAATAAACCTTGAAGTTTTTTCACTAGCACTTTAATCCTTCAAAGTGACGTTTGTGTCACAAAAAACCTTGAACTTGAAAATGTGACATGTTGAACAGGTAAAATAAGTCATTTATCAGGTTTTTTTTGAAAAATAAATATTTAATAAATAAAAATTTAATAAATAATAAAAAAATAAAAGAAAATCAATTAAATTTTCAAAAAACTAAGAAAATTTCAGAACATAAAGAAAAATTTATAAAAAAATAATTTCAAATACCAAAATTAAATAAAATTCTGAATATTAAACAAAAAATTAAATAAAATTCACAAAATTGAAATTTTTTTGAAAGTTCATTTGATTTTTATTAATATTCATAGAAATAAATATTTACTAAAATATAATATAAGAAATAATCAAATAAATAAATAAAAATCAATTGAATTTTCAAAAAGAAAAGTTAAAGAAAATTTTAGAACATAAAGAAAATTTTAAAAAATAAATAAATTGAAATACAAAAAATTAAATAAAATTCAGAGAATTAAACAAAAATTAAAAAAGATTCAAAAAATTGAAAACTCAAAAGTTCAAAATAGTTTTTTTGAAAATTACAAGATTATGTTTTTAACTATTTAAAACCAGCAACTTCAACAGTGATATGTTTGAATTTTTTTTTTTCAACGATGATATATCAATTTTATTGGAAAATTTAATAAAAAATTAAAAGATTTGTTTTTCAAAAATCTGAAATATTATAGTTGAGAATAAAACTTTCAATATATTACTATTGACGATGATGGTTTCAAACCTTTTTCATTTTTGTAAATGTTTCTTTAATTTTTTTAAAAATATAATTTAGTTTTTGATTTTGATTTATTTTTTGAATTTTGTTTAATTTTTGCTTAATTTTTGTTTAATTTTTAGAATTTTTATTTAATTTTTGGTATTTGAAATTATTTTTTTATAAATTTTTCTTTATGTTCTGAAATTGTCTTTATTTTTTGAAAATTTAATTGATTTTTATTCATTTTTTGATTTTTTTATTAAATTTTTATTTATTAAATAATTGTTTTTTCGAAAAAATTGATAAATGACTTGTTTTACCTGTTTATGTAGGTCATTCTCGAGTTCAAGGTTTTCTGTAACACAAATGTCACTTTGAAGGTTTAAAGTGTTAATGAAAAAACTTTAAGGTTTAAAGTGTTAATAAGTGTCAATTTGAAGGTTTCTGCTGCTTTTTTCCCAATAAAATTAGGTCTTTTACCAAATACAGTGTGATACATTCGAATCTTTGACTATTTGGCCTCTTCTCATGGCACCACTCCACCCCCATTCTTCCTTGAACGTAAAGTAACCTTTTCCACTCTTTTCTTTTCCTCATTTTTCACATTTGTTTCACAAACCCTCACACGTACGTCAAATATTACTCCATACCATATCTTATTTTTAAAATTAAGGATTTTTAGTAATTTAAACCCTCAACTAAAGATTAATCATAAAACAAACCCCCAACTAAAAATCTTGTAAAATAAACCCTTATCTTTATGTCCGTTAATGTTTTCGCCTCTCCGTAGCTTTTGTCGTCAACTTTTGACGGAGAAACGTTAAATATTGACGAAAAGGTTACGGAGGGGCGAAAACATTAATGGACATAAAGATGAGGGTTTATTTCACAGAATTTTTAGTTGAGGGTTTATTTCACAGGATTTTTAGTTGAGGGTTTGTTTTACGATATATCTTTAGTTGAGGGTTTAAATTACTAAAAATCCTTTTTTTTAGAAAATCCTATAAGTATTGATTATTTAGTAATTTTATGACCGATTTTACTGTTAATACAAAATCACTTTTCTTTGTCAGTGAGACCTCGAAGGAGGGTAAATCTAACTTATAACTATTCTTGTTTTCATGTTCGCTCTTTTACAAAAGAAAACTTGTTTTTGAGATTAATGTTTGGTTTAGGTTTTGCATTAGTCAATTCGTACAAAGGAACAACCTAAGACCAAAGTTTAAAATTTATGTATCCGATCTTCATTTTGGTGAGGTATCCACATTAGTTCAGACAACAAATCATGTGGACCAATCTCCGTCAATTCGTTCTTTCTTATCTAACCAATTATTTCAGTCTCTCAATGCTAAAAGAGAACCTACTAATTTTAGCATAAACATAAATAAAAATAGAAATAATACCACAATTAATGTGTAGAATGTTGGCTCAGTGAATGCTTCTAACATATCTATAACCTAAATTAGGACAAGTTATATTTTAGTTACCTTTTGTCTTTTCTAAGATTGGTTGGTGGGTCGGATGGAAATGCATGAGTGATTAGTTTGAGTGATGTAGCCACTGAAAATGGCATTAAAGTCGATGTCCTTATAGGACGACCACTGAAAGATGAACACGCTGAGGTAGGTTTTACCATAGCATTGAGAGACTGAGATGTTTTGTTAGAGAAAAAAGAACGAATTGACGGAGATTGGTCCACTTAATTTGTTGTCTGAGCTAATGTGGATTCCTCACCAAAATGATGATCGGATACCTGAATTTTAAACTCCGGTCTTAGGTTGTTCCTTTGTACGAATTGACTAATGCAAAACCTAAACCAAACATTAATCTCAAAAACAAGTCTTTTTTGTGAAAGAGCGAACATGAAAACAAGAATAGCTACAAGTTAGATTTACCGAAGGAATGCGAGGTCTCATTGACAAAAAAAAAGTGAGTTTGTATTAACAGTAAAACCGGTCATAAAATTACTAAATAATCAATACTTATAGGATTTTCTCAAAAAAATTATTTTTAGTAATTTAAACCCTCAACTAAAAATATATCGTAAAACAAACCCTCAACTAAAATTCCTGTGAAATAAACCCTCATCTTTATGTCCATTAATGTTTTCTCCCTTCCGTAACCTTTTCGTCAATATTTAACGTTTCTCCGTCAAAAGTTGACGACAAAAGTTATGGAGGGGCGAAAACATTAACGAACATAAAGATGAGGGTTTATTTCACAAAATTTTTAGTTGAGGGTTTGTTTTACGATTAATCTTTAGTTGAGGGTTTAAATTACTAAAAATCCTAAAATTAAATATATAACTACGTATGTACTTTCTCTCTTAGAAACTCGACACATGCTG